CTCAAATGTGTTGTAAAATTATTTTATAGTATATTCTGGTAATACCCCCAAAAAATGAACTCCCAGATGTTGCTTTGCACTAGCACAGATGGTTTTATAGTGTATGACAGCACTCCATAGTATAGGGATAGGCCATAAAAAACACAGTTTCCCAAAGGTCATGTTCTAGGTAACCTAGGGTAATCTTCTCTGAAATAAAATGTGGCTGTAAAATTTACACTTTTTCACTTTTTGGAGGAAAAAAGGACAACATTAGGTAAGAATACTGCTTTTCCCTTCATTTCAAAGATGGCATCTCTAGCAGTTTCCCATTACATGGTTTCTACTCAGGACTTCATCCTCTGAAATTGCCAACACCCCTTCTTGGCAGAACCTAGAATTTCTTGAGATTTTTAATTGTCACTGTACCCCACGTGTCATGTATGAGCTAAATAAGGTGAAAGAGTAAAGTCCTAATACAAACAAGGTGTTTTCTGTTATTTTACTGGTGAAACTGCATTGTGTTTTTCAGGCTATTCTGCCATTCTATAACATGCATATAGGTAAAAATTAAATAGAAGTCAGATTAATACTTCATTCTGTTAAAGCACAGGCTTATTTAATTTATTTAGTGCTCTGCTTGGTTGGAGCCCACTTGCCAACACACCCTGATGAGAGCCCTTGGTGCTCCTCTGGTGCCATCTGCAAGGTGGAGTGCACTGAGCAGAATGTGTCACGAGTATTCTTTAGTCCTTCATTTGCAAAGGGCTTCGTGGAATAAAAAAATGTCAGGTGCTGCGGTGGAAATACAACAGCAGATGACAAGAGCCTTGTCCATCTATTTCTGTACAGGCCATCTGCTCCAGATTTTGTAGGAAAGGGTGAAGAGTTCACTAGGTAGCTTCAGAAGGCAACTCTCAAATAACTCCTGTTTCTGTCTTCCTCTCCACTTTTTCTAGAAATTTCCTTTTTTTAATTTAATTTTTTATTACTTGGGACCTGTTGCTATTCCAGTTTTTGGATATTTTTTCCACCCTGTGAGGGAAGAAAACTGTGTATATTTCCACCTTTGAGTCACTAAAATTGCCTTGGAATTTTGCTCGTAAAAAGCCACACGTTTCCCCCCATCCCTGTATTTGGGTTTCCCTGTAAGGACTGCATGCTCCCCTGGTGTGCAGGATGGGTGAGCCCCCAGTTTCCATCCCCAGGGCCAGGAAATCGGGCAGGCATGACCCTCTTTTGTTCCTAGAAGTGCCTGCACAGAAACACTTGGGAGGAGTTAAACACCCGGCTGGCAAGCTGACAAAAAGCCTTTATGGGAAGAGTGTGTGCTGCTAATTCTGGTGACAAACACCCAACAATAGTGGCGTGCTGGAGCTCACAGCAATTTGCATTTCACTGTGGACTTGCCAGAAATGAAGCGTGTTATATTTAGACCAACTGGAAGGGAAATCTCAGACACGAATTCGAATCACAAAACAAGGAATAGAATTAACTCTGATCACAACCTTTAAAAAATAGACGGCTACAGATATAAAAGAGAGCGAGCACATTGGCTGTACAGGCTGACTGTGCAAATATCAAAATATTTGTACTTAAATAGCTTCTTAGAGTATAAATGAGATGGCAAATTACCTTATTTTCAAGGAGTTTTTTTTCTTTTGCTTATGAAAGCACAGATCACCAGAGGGATAGAGAGCTTACACATTTTCTCTCTACTATTCCCTAGTACTTTACAAACCTTGATTTACTTCCCCCTTCTCCCATTTCACTTTATTGTCATTTCTGGTTCTAAAGTTTTTTTCCTCCCCTCTGCATTGCTGCAGCAACTGGAAATGACTGGAGTGCCTCATTCCATCATTCCAATATGTTTTTGTATTTCAATTCGAAGCCATTTTCAACCGCAGATTTTTTATTATTTAAACTGTTGCTTTTTAGGACACTTCAGGGAAAAAAATCCACAACATTTCAATAATAAGTAAGAACAAGGTAAACCCACATTTTGGTCTCAGTCCCAGGTCATAGAAGTTTAGCTGCCATGGTCAGTAGAATTTGTTGCTTGAGGATCCATTTTTACGTTTCTAATGGAGATGAACATTTAAAGTTCGTTTGAGGAGAAGCCATTCCTTTTAGCAGGACTTTAGGGAACTTGCTGAAAAATACTTGAAAGTACTACTGGGAAGGAGCAGAAATTAATCTCAGTGGTTGCTGCATGTGGTGTCTTAAAGCTGCTTACATTTTATGTTAGTGATACATGCATTTATGGTACTTCATAAAGAATACTTCTTTCAAGCCAAATCTTAGAAATAAAAGCAGCAGACTTTTCATGCAGTCTGGACCATATTTTAGAAAAACTTAAATATTTGGTACTTGGAATAGGAAGATGCAGTTATCTTTTTTTTTACCCTTTTAACATAAAATGCTCCCCACCCTCTTAAAAACCTGAATTCATCTTGCAGTGAATTCAGTTTGATTTCTAGCATGTTCCCACAGGTTATTCGTCCTGAATTGGTCTGACTGTGTTATTAATCTGTTTACTAAACTGTCACAGCCTAGCCCAGCTGTCAGTTTTAACAGCTATATGCTATTTACAACAGTTAGTCAAGGAAAGCATCTGTATTTTCTATTTTCTACCTTAACTTTAAAATATGCCTACTATTCTTTATTACTTCCACAAGCCTTAACAGTGTAATTTCCTTAGCTTGTGACATTTTTTTCTAGACCAATTTAAGAATCAAAGAGATTATTTTATTTTTCCAAGTAGTTTTCTCAGTATTTTCTCTATTTAGCTGACTTAAAAATAAAAACTTGTTTTGCATACAACCCTGTAAAATTGCTTTGTATTTATATAAAATGTACTATCATATTTAACGTGATTCCTCTCTTACAGCTGTGTAGTTAACTTGTATATTGCTTTGTTTGTTTGCAGACGTTTGGAACAAAACCTCATCAAAATCATTCCCCCTGGAGCTTTCACCCAGTACAAGAAGCTTAAGAGAATGTAAGTTTTAATAAGACCAACATGCAAGAGCAATCATGAATCTTCTCGCTTCAAGTTCTGTATCTTCATTTTAGAAACATATTGGCAATTCTGTGTTGAAATCACTGGGGATTGCACAAATCATCTCTTTAGAGTGTTAGCAACAATGGAATTTGGTTCAGGATGCCTAACAGTGCATGAAATCCTTAATAATGCTTAATTTCACTTCCCGTTATAAACGATGTGATTTAATTAGTTGTTAGTCTGTGCAAACTTCAAATCTGCTTCCTCAGAAAAGATTTCAAGTTCCGTTTCTCTTCTCATCCGTTCTGTGCCTGTTTGCAGCCCGCCGGGGTGGCTGACCCCAGTTACAGCAGCAGTCCCGTTCTTGCAGAGCACTGAGGAGTTCTTTGTAGTGCCTTTGATGTCCTGATGTTGAAATGGTTTGACTGTTTACAAGAAAACAAAGAAACCTGCTGGAGCTTGTTTTCTCTGTCGCTTAATCACCAGTAGATACCCAGATAATTCTTCCTTTTATTACCTCTTGTGTTTTCTCTTTGGATTAAATAAATAATAATAATCCTGATGTGCAGCAGTGCTGTCATGCAGATAATACGGGGCATTCCCCCAGTCAGGTTTTTCTTTCATTTTTGACTGATGTGTGAGAGGTGATGTGACAGTTCCATGATGACAGAAATCAAATAAAACAAGTTACCCCTGCTTCCCCACGGTATGGAGATACTGATGTAGCCACTGGAGCAGTAACTTCCAGAAGTCATTCAGGCTTTGTAGATCAGTGCTCATGCTGCTGAAAAAGTGCCTTTGCAGTTCTTCTCTGATGTGAACAATACTGGAATTAAGACACTGTCAGCTCATTCACAGAACACACTGGATTATCAGATAGCTTTGGGAAACTGAAGTGAGCTTGCACCATACTGTTTATTTAAGGGCAAAATTGCTGTTTTCCAGTCCCAGCCTGGCAAGTTCCTAGAGCTGAAGAGCTGTAAATACGGATCTTAATATTTAACAGGTCAAATCATCAATCTTTGACGGTCTCTGTTCTTCTGTCTCACTTTCAATATAGCTGTATGTATTTTTAAAGAAGTACTGTATTGGATAGTAAGATGGTAATTTCAGTGATAATGATGGATCCCTCTTCAGTGACCTAGATTGTAACTTTTTTAATATTAAAATCACTACACAGTTCTTTCTAAGGTATGACTAAATTTAGATTTTTGCAGTGTTTTACTGTCTTTTCATTGATTGGTGAACTCTAGTTTTATGGAAGTTGACCAAAAACTATTCTTTAATGTGGATACCTGCCCTATGCAATGTAGCACTTGCTATGTGAAATGATTAATGTTAGAATTTCAGAGCAGAATTTCATTAGCAAGTGGTGCTAACAGCTTTTTGGGGTATAATTGGCATACTCATTGAGATCTGAACTCATAATGAAATAATAAGTTATTATGTCAGATGATCTGTGCCAAAACTTAGTTAACATGACAGGGTCTCTTGGGAGAATTATGGACAGGTATTTGAGCTGCAGAATGTCCCATAACAAGCCTGATGTTTTGCCATTTGTTTATTCACCTTTCTCCTTGTTAAAGTTTAGTTCCTGGTGGACAGTGAGGCTCTGGATTGAGTAACAGTTCTGATACATACAGTTTTATTGAGGACATTTTTTTCAGTATTTTAAGAGATTATTGACACCATCTTTTCAAGATTCCCAGTCCTATTAACACAAAAATATACTTTGATGAAAAGATTATATCCTAAAACGAAAGAATCGTCCATCCTTTTCCGTTAGAGGAAGGATAAGTTCAATATCACTGAAGTTTTGTTAGCCTTTCTTCATTTCTGTCACTTTGATTTCAATGAGTAGTCCCATACTAGGAAGATTATCAATTTAATTAATGGATACCCTACTGGGGGTACAAATGAAGAACATTAATATAATTGTTGTTATTGTTACTATTAATTACTATAATAATATTTTATATAATTCAGAGGATAGTATTAGCATAACCCTTTAAATTTTACTGTATTTTTCTTCTTCTGGTGAATAAATATGCAAGAAAGTTAGTGATAATAGTCCTCATTTGCAATTCTATACTCTCTGTATTTTGATTCTTTACTGAGTATTTCCTGCAAGATAATGAAGTTTCCTTTCCTTAACTAATTGGATAACTGAGATTAATTATTAAATTAGATCCACTTGTCCGACATAATCTTGATATGACTTGATATTATTAGGTCAAGATGATAGCAAAAAATGTATATTAATTCAAGTGTTATATGTGCATATAGCTGCAGTTTGCTGTCTAGAATGTCTCTTCAACAACTTCCAGGATGGGAGAGTTATTTTGGTGATTAAGTTTAGTAAAGGAGCTGAAACCTATTTTGTCTTAGACTTAACCATAATTTCCCACATCTCCTGTCTCTGCTCTTCTGAGGCTTTTAACTTAAATGTTTGTAGAGCAAGAGTAAGAGCCAAGTACAGGAATAACTTCCAAGGATGTGGTTGCACCTCTCTAGCTCTGATGCTTGTAGTGGCATTTCATGTTGTTACAGTAATTTTACCACATTTTAGCAGAAAACACATTGAGACTCCACAGACTGCCCAGTAGCTCTGTGGAGTTGTGACATTTTTAAGCAGCTTCTACAAACTAAACCATATATGACATGGATTTTGCTGAGTACTCTTGGCAAATGAGAGCAGTCCATTTTATGTGTTGGAGATAATCAAGTAATCTGTTTTTAATAATGTTAGTCAACAAAGGGAGTATTCAACCAATGCTATTATTAGTTTTGCATTTGGTTGCATCTAAAAATAAATCTGTTTTGTTTCAAAACCTTTTACAGTGAAGAGATTTAAGCCATATAGTCATGTGTTACTCAGCAACTTTGCTCCCCTGGTGCAAAGTCAAAACCAATTTATGTCCCCAACTGGTGAGTGAGCACAGCCACTCTGCAAGGTGTGTGCAAAGAGATTTCTGTCAGAGGTGCAGGGAGGGAGTGTGAGGGGACTGATGTCATCCCTGCCTGAGTGGAATCCTGATAATTTTATTACATTTCCAGTTGAAGAGGCACACTTCTCCTGAGTGGTTCTGAGATACCCTAAACTAAGAAAATAAGCCTTATGTCATCTAAATTGTCTTAGTTTTGCAGCTTAAAAAAGCCTCTCTCTGTCTTGATGTAAATGAAAGAGAGAATAGGACAATCTCACCAAAGCAGGCCAAACAAAGAAAACAAAAATACAAGAACAAAATTGAATCTCTTTCTCTCAGTCAAGTCAGAAGGAGATGGAACCTCCTTATCCGACAGCAGTGGAACTTGGGCTCTAATGGAAAGGAAATAATGTGTCTAATTATCTTCTAATGCTGATTGTAGTGCATCTGCATGAAGTGAGAGAGTGCTGTTGCCCAGCATGGCATTTCTGCACGTTCAGGCACCATTAGTTATACACTCATTAACGTCCGGACATGGGGGAGAAGGAGGATGGAAAGGTTGAGATGTAGCAAATCACTGAAACAGTGCTGAAATGCTTCTCTCAAAAACTAGATGCCCCTTTTCAGACGCTTGGCATTGTTCAGCAAAATCACCTTTTCCCGTGATTTTGGTAGATTTTAATACATTCCTCAATAAATAGATAGGACTGATCCACTTCATACTTCTGCTTACTAGAGAAGAAGCAACAGTCAGTCTAAACAAGATTCACAAAAACCTGAATAAAAATAAAAAGTTCCTGCTTTCGTAGTGAAAAGTTGAGCTGCTGTAAGTTGAGCTGCAAAACTGAAACTTTCCAGGAATCCTGTCCTGCTAGGCACGGTGTTGTAACAGAAAACATCAGTAGATTGCAGAACAATTTTTTATGAGCTTTAAAAAAGATACAAGCCTTAGAAAAATTACCAAAACACCAAACAAAAACATCCCACTTAACATGGCTAGGTTTGACAAGAGTTTGAGGACCTCATTAAAATTTTAGCCAACATAATTTGTAGATCAAAACATGTATAGAATGGAAAACCTCCTTACTCTCTGCTTAGTAAGTTCTCATTCAAGCAGTGTTTTATTTAGAGTCTACTTGTATCCATAGCATGTGCCCCAGTGGAAATAGCAGTGAAGAGGTGCATGAAATACTGCATTGCTTCAGCTATCAGTGCAGAGATTTGTTACTACTTTTACAAGCTGCTATCAGCTGTCAGGGAGGGCAGTGAGGTGGCTGAAGGTTGTGTCCCAGCTCAGCACCTGGTTGAAGTGATGGACAGAAATCTGGATGACAGTGACAGTCACGATGAGACACCCAGCTCTGAGCACCTGGGTGCCAGGTGTAGTAAATTTGGCTCCTTGTATAAAGTGACAGTAGCACGGTTTGTATTTATCTTTGTGTTCTTGGCTGGTTGTGGTTCAAATTGAACAGTACTTTCCAAACCAGGAGCACACTTCACTTTAAAAATACAGCAGGCAATACTGAATCCCACTCACACCACAGCCAAAAGGGTGGGACCTTGCTGGGCTCCCTGACAGGGTCTGCAGCACACTGGGGGTCCCCACAGTGGCTTCAGAGCTCCACAGTTCCCATTCAGACGCTTGAAGGCTTCCTGCAGTGTCTGAACTTCAGCACGTCAAGGCTGAGCGGATTTTGTGCTTGTTTTTCCTGGGCCATTAAAGCCCAGACCTCAGTGGAGCAGTGCTGAGCTCCCTGCTTTGGGGTCAGGGGCTGGGCTCTCTGCATGATCCTGTCTGTTGTTACAAAGGTGCCTTCCCTGCCTGCATTCAGATGCTCAGACCACCTTTATGCTTTGTCATGGGCTGCTCTTTGTCCTTGAGGGCCACCCACAGGGTCGCAGTGCCATCTCCAGCATTAATGGCTTTGGGATGGTTTTATCAGCATCACTTGGTTTTGTTCTTTATAAAAACCTTTTTTTAATATCTGTAAAATAAAAGACCTTATTAAGAAAGGTGGTCTCTATTGAGGCTGTGGCCTGTCATACTGACTGATGTTTTCTGATCCTTCCTGGGAATTTGCCTACCTCTGTCATTACATAGTTCATCATTTCTCTGAGATTATATGATCATTTACTTCTGTTTTTGTATCAAGTGTGTTCTTCCAATAAGATACAGCCAAAATATTTTCATTAGATTCCTGTTTACTAACATTTTTTAAATCCTTCTTTCTTTTCACAGAGACATCAGCAAGAATCAAATAACTGACATTGCACCTGATGCATTCAAAGGCTTGAAATCTCTCATTTCTCTGTAAGTAGAAAATAGAACTGAATGGGCTTTTGGGGAGAGCTTGCATGTAAGAGGAATAAAAATGATAATGTGCTGTCTGGGGGAACATATGTTTCTGTGTGCAACTGCCAGCTTGTGTGAAGCATCTGATCTTTTGTAAATGAAAAATTTTGTAAATGAAAAATGAAGTTTAGAAAGGAGGACTGTCTACAAGTCTCTCATAAGGCTGCTGACTTCTGCTATTCTTCAAATCAGTGCATTATTCAATCTACTGTACACATGCACCTGCAGGCTGCTCCATGCACCCCTACTCCTCATGGCACACCAAAACCTCACCTTAGCTCAGACGTGATTGGTGGTGTTACTCAGGAAAGAGTTGGGGAAATACTTCCATACTGGATTTTTCTTCTATAGTAAAGAAATTACACTCTCTTGAGAGTTTTCTGGTTTATTTGGATTTTTGTGGTGTGGAGTTTTTTTGGTTGTTTTTTGTTTGGGTTGTTATGTTGGTTTTTTTGGTGGTGGTGGTGGGTTTTGGTGTGTCTTATTTTCTTCAAACTAGTTAGGGAAGGACCTAATAATAAGAAAATGTTTATATGCCTTAGCTGTAATTACTGCTTTATTAAGCTGGAAGGGGACTAAGATATGATTTCATACAGAAGATGAAAGGAAGGTAGGATCTCTTGACAGCCATTTGTTCCTCTTTATAGAACACAGAAAACTGATTTAGCACCAAGTTGAATTTACATGCAGCTGTATTTCAGCCTAGGTACCCACAGCACTATTAAAACAGTCAAGCTTTTAATGGGTAAAAAGGGCAATACAAGGTCAGAAGCTGCATATTGAGGATAAATTAGAATAGAGTGGTAGAAAGCCCCATGCTGGGAAAAGAGGGAAGCACAACTTGAATGATATTTACCTGAATTAATTTTAAGAACAGTATGGAAACAATTATCTCATTAATATTCATATAACCCATCTTGGTTTTTAAAAACTGTAGTTTGTTTCTACAAGCTGCCACAATTTAATTTTCTGAATACTGGATAATTCTGAGAAACTGAGTAACTTTTTTACTAGAAGAATATCAGAAAGTAAGTACTAAACTTACATGTTTCAGTAAACCTCTTAGCCAGAATGCAGAAGTATTGGCCCTTTTTTTGTGCCCTGAATCCAGCTGGGAGAATGCCAGAAATCTATATTAAGTGTTGCTGGTGTTTGTTGAATAGTTCAGGCGGTGTTATTCAACATGCTGTGGAAATGGTCAAATCCCTCACTGCTGTCTGGAAACAATTCAGCAAGAGAGTGGCATTTACTGAATGCTACAGTTTTGGCTTAGTATGAAACTACTGCTGATGCTGCAGTGCTGCAGCTTCTGGCAAACCTGGTCCTGGCAGTGAGCTGGACGGGCAAGACATTTCCACTGGGCTTGAGTTCCCAAGGCAGAACTTACTCAGCTTTAGTACAGTTAATTCAGATACCCCCAGGTGGCCTCTGGAGTGTGGACAAAACACATTAGAGTGGACAGAGAGGAAATGAGAATATAAACTGGGCAGGAGTTTATAGTGCTTTGACTTGCAGACAGAAGCAAGTGACATGACTCTGTATTCTCTCCAGTTATCCAAGGCATCAGATACTTTAAATGGTATTTGAATATGTTTATATCCAAGTGGGTAAAACAGTGCTTAAGTTAATGCCAGTAGGTTGTAGCAGGGAGATGAGAGGCCACAGAGCAAAGGCTGTAGCAAGGGAACTGCCTCTGAGTGATTCCTTTGTTCCATGTTTGCCTCAGTTTCCCTCCCCACAAAGCTGTACCACACAGTTTCTCCTCTCCTTGGCAGCCTTGTTTCTAGGACAGTATCAACTCCAGTCTTGAAATTATCAGCCTCCTACTCCAGGGTCAGTTGTCCCCTGTAGTTTTACTTTCTTTTGAAAGGTTTTGCCCCTGCTGCTCATTGCAGGTAAGTCTTACAAACGTTTTCCCTATAGATGACAAGCCGTGGTTATTTCCCTCATCTTTCAGGATCTGTCACCCAGACATGGCAGGTTCCTCCCTGTAGTTCTTTCAGTTTCTGAGCCCTTGATATCTTTATGGAGCAAGACTATGTGCTGCTCTGCAGAATGTGAGTTTCTCTGAAGAAAGCTTCCCCAGGATTCTCCCCCTCAGAAGCAGAGGATCTTCTTTAGTCTGAACTTTGCCACAGCCACCAGCCCAGCTCAGTCAGGCCCAGAAGGACAAGTGCCAGCCCTCCCAATGACACTGCCAAAGGAGAAAGAACAAGGAGGCAGATGTGAAGTGCGACAGTGGCTTACCAGTGTGTTCCCTCTTAGCAGCTCAGTCTTCTTGGTGCCCAAGGCCCCAGTAACTTTACTCAGCTGTGTACCCTGAAGGAGCACTGTTCTGCATACCAGGAACAACTCTCACTGTTCCTGCACCTCGGTCAGATGTGACTGGTGTGTACATTTTAATGAGACATCGAGGTTTAAGCTCTGCACAGAGCAGCTGGACTTTTCAGCTAGTCGAGTTCCAACCAGAAGAAAGGAGGGGAGAGTATTAATGTAAAAATGAGAGTAAGCAACTTGCTTTCCATTAAAAATGAAGTGCTGCTGGACGACCTAATATCCTTGCACTTTTTTTGTTTGTTTTTATTCCCATTTTGTGCTCCTCCCTCTGCTCCCTGCTTGCATGCAATCACAGTGCTCCCTATGGGTCTGGAGAGCCAGAGTGCTCCTCTGGAAGGCAGCCAACGTTGTTAGTCTGCCTGCCTAATGCAGGCCTATATTTAGTGGCTTCTACTCTGCTTTCTTCTGAAGTCAACTTGGCTTGGTGTTGCCAGGCAGAAATGCTGCTCAGAGTACTCTGTCTGTTGTACTTGTGTTGAGATGGTAGAAGGAATAGTGTACTGCAGTTTTCAAAACATGGGAATGTTTATAACAGAAGCTGTTTCCTCTAAAATGTATAAAACTTAAATCTTTTAAAAGTGCTAAGTGATCCATGTGCTAGCAGGTCATAAGTTTTTATTTTAAGTGTATATATTTTTCTCTAACAAGGAATTTACCTATGGGAGTCAAACAGAACACAAAATGATTATGCTTGAAGGCAGCCATTTCTACCTTGGTTTTCTCTGCATTTAGCAAAAGAAAGCAAGTTTGTTCCTGTGGGGTATTCAAGGCTTCTCCATTCCCTACATGCAGGAAAAAATAAGTTATTTTCTCAATGCACATTTTTCAATGGGATTTTGTTCCCTGTTCACATTATTCTTTGGAACAAGAAATTTCTACTTAGAAACATTTGGGGATGCACATAACCTCTTTTGTTCCTGGTTGTTACAGAATAAGGAACTAGAACCATTATGCTTTCTTTTTGCTGCTTCTTCCTGGCTTTTCCTTTTCTTCTTGTTCTGCTGGAAGAATTAGTCTTGCCATGCAATACTTCCTTCATATGAGAGCAAATAGTACCCTTGCATTGAGAAGTGTGGGAAAATTGGTTGGTTGCAAAGGAAGGTATTATCTGAGTTTGAAGGAAAAGCTTGAGAAATACTCTGTTTGTAGTGCCTGGTGTTTGTGTTCCATGGTTAGCAGGGCCTCTGCAGGAGTTGGAGTGGTTAATAACAGCCCAGAGCAGGGGGGACAATAGAAATAGTTTCATGTTTCAAGATTGCTGCACACACTTTCTAAAGTAAATTAGTTTTTCATTTAATTAACTCAGAATCTGTCTGGTATCAGCAAGAGAATTGTATCAGCATTTGGTTATTGTTAATAGTATCAAAGATAAATGTAATTCTTGGGGTCAGTGAACGTCCCACAAATACAGGTTGGAAGGCCATATCCAGACTGTCTGGGGACATTTTATGAGATATGACAAAATAGTCTAAGCCTTCAGTGTGTTAAACTGCATGAATAAGTTTTAAACCATTGCAGAGGGAGAATTCCTTTGGTTTTGCTCATATACTGAATTAAGCTAGTGAACACTTTTTTCAAAAGCTTAGATCAGTCTGGGCACAAAGACAAGAGACAGCTTAGGTTTTGACATAGCAGTCCCATTTAGACCATCATCTCCTGGGTGATGATGTATGGGGTGTCATTCATGGTGATTTGAAATCTGCAATAAAACACTGCCTATTGCAATAGCTGACAAACTTATTTTAAGGTTACAAATTGCTTTGGATAGTTTTACTGTGATTTATTTAGCTTAGCCTGTTTTGAAGAAATATGAAATAGTGCAGGGGGAAAAAAATTACATGTCTAAGTTTCTTTTAGATATTATAAATTTATTGCTGTTTTTATCCCTATCAATTCGTCCTTTTCTGAAAACCTGAATTCATGTTGAGCCTGTGCCGTTGTACGTAGCTTGGGAAATACAATTCTTCCTAGCAAGAATTGGTTTCACAGTCTGAAAGAAAGTTAAAAGCATTCTGAGGACTGAAAAAGACATTGCATAAAGTCACAATTTGACACTTCGGTAAGAATGTTTCAGCCCAGCCAAAATAAAGGAACACTTAGCTGGAAACCATATGGTCCAAAGTAGGGGATTCTGTGCTAAGTTTTCTTACCTCAAAAAACTCTGTGTCATCTTCAAGGAAAAAAATCTCTGTATTCTGTGATCTGGCTTAATGAAGCAGCCAAATTGCAACTACATTTGCAAGCAAGGAAGCCGAGGAGCAGAGACATAAAATAAAGAACACAGCAATTACTGTTTCACACCCTTCAAAGGTGGCATGTTAAACTAAAGTGCATCTGAAAGGCCATGTATTGGTAAAGTCAATGCAAATTTCCTCATTTTAAAATGGTGCAAGAGATCAGAAGGGATAGAGACTGTGAAGTATCAGTGTAAATTTCATGTTTTAAGACTCTTCTACCAAAAGTTTGGTCCATCATTGATTATATTCCCACCCAGCATGCTTGTGGCTAGGTGTGCTTGCTGTGCATTCTTTGTGTGATGTGTCCCAGAATTGCACATCAATCTATGCAGTGACTGTTTTCACTGTTTAATCTTTATTTTAGAATATCCTAGGTTAAACAGCAAAACTTGAAATTTAGTAGTAACAATTAATTATTTAATTGGAGATTTAATATCGGTCTTGGGATAGATACATTGTTACAGGACTGTTAAAATGTGATGCTAGAATCAGGCTGAAGAAACAAACGCCTCATTTGTGTTTTATATTTGTGTAACTTCTTGTTGCAGGTCCATAATGACTCTTTAGGGTGCTGCTCCCAGGGATTTCCAATGCTTGCAGTGCTGCCAGGGGTCTGTGATATTTATCAGACTCGTGGCTGACTTGCTTTCCTAAAGATGAGAAACCAATGAAGAATCAGGAGCCCCCACAAAAAAATCTTATTAATTTTTTTGGTGTTCTAATAAATGTTCTAATTCACTGATTCGCTGTCTATTGGCAGCAATTACTGAGCTATTTTTTTTATTACATGTTTAGTGTATTTTTAATTTAAAAAATACTTTGGGTCTAAAATTTGAGGTGCTTTGGGATAGAAGAAGGGTTGTGTTCCTGTGCCAAGCTTGCACATTAGCCAGGACACCTGCATGTCCTGAAACACCCGTGAGGGAAGTAAGTGAACACCGTTTTTAGAACTTGTAATACCAAAGGGAAAATCTCCTAAAATTTACCTCTGCTGGTAAAAAGCACTGGAGATTTAAATTAAGCTCTTGATTGAATTGGTCGTGTTTCCAACTATAGGGCTTTTTAAAGTTGGGGTTTTTTTGTTGTTTTGTTTTGGTTTTGTTTTTGGTTTTTTGTTGTGGGAGTTTTTTTGTTTTGTTTTTGTTGTTGTGGGGGTTTTTTTGTTTGTTTTTGGGGTTTTTTTTTTTTTTGTTTTGTTTTTGTTTTTTTTTTTTTGTTTTTTTGTTTGGTTTTTTTTGTTTTTTGTTTTTTCTTTGTTTTTGTTTGGTTTTTGGGGGTTTTTTGTTTGTTTTGTATGCTTGTTTTGTTTTGTTTGTTTTGTTGTTTGTTTGTCGGGGTTTGGTGATTTTTTGCATGGGGTTTTTGTTTGTTTCCTTTTCCCCAGAGCTGCTGTAGTGGGAGCACAGGGTGCAGAGCAGGGAGATGGGCACTGTGGCTGCAGGGACTCGCAGCCTGGCAGCTCCATCAGCTGTGCCCAGGGCAGGAGCCTGGGGGACCAGGAGCCAGCCCAAGCCATGTTCCTTGGGAGCATGTGCTCTCCTGGCTGACACAGAGCAGTTTCCTGTGCTTTTTCCTGCAGTGAAGGGCAGTGGGAGCTCCGGAGAGGAGCTGCAGTGCAGTGCACATCTCCCCTGGCAGGGCTGTTTGCCTGCAGCCCTGGCGTGGCAGGCAGACATGGCATGAGATAATTTGGCTCTGTGCAGTGCTGAGCATGAATATGAATTAGAGACAAGTGCCTGAGCTCTCATACTGACTTTTGTTTAGCTGCTAATCTGTTTGAATGCTAATGTGCCACATGCACATAAGCCAAATTAGTTTGGAAAATGCTTATTTTCCTTTTCATGGCTTCTAAAAATCGGAGCTTTGTTTTATTTTATAAGCTACTTTGATCTGTTTTATTTTGCTCAAAATAATTTAGAAGATGTATAAACACATCCAAGGTTTAAAGTTCAGTAGCACACTGCACTATGACCTTCTGACTCTCAAATTAAAAACAAATTTAAAAAATTGCTCTGAGGGTCTTATTTCTATATTTTCATTCAGTAGTACCACAGTACGTAAGTGCTGGCATTTCTTTAAAGTTTTGCTTTCCGTAAGTGTTTTACTTCTACAGCCAGAATAACCCTTAGGCTGGAGTGGGGATGTTTTTATTTTCCATGGGCATTTTGTAAAACTTAGCTTCTCAATTCTTTTTTGCAGTTATGCTATGCATTATTGATCAGCACTGCTGATCCTGCTCCTTCACAAAACTAAGGAAGTGATTTCTCTGGCATCCCAGAGTTTGCAGTCTAAGCTCAGTGTACAGATAACACACTAAAGCTACAGAAAGCTAAAGAAAGGTTTTTCAGAAGGACTGGAAGGTGAAAAGGAAGCATACTGGGTTCCGTGGGCAATGGTGTTTTAACCTTTTACAAAAATTTTATTTGCAGAGGTTTTGCTTTCTGATGCATGTGCACACATCTTTGTTCAGAAGGAAATCTGTGAGTCAGCCTTTCACATGTAGGTTTAGAGCCCAGTGAAACCCAAGGGCTTGAATGTTCTGTTTAAATGATCCTGTTAAACCTTTCCAAGTTCAGCCACCATTTCCGTCCAGCTTTGGATAGAGTATAAGAATCTTCATCTATTGCATTAAATTTTGTTGAAGTAGGAAATTGTGTGTGTCTTCTGAAGTGAAAGTTAAGAAACAATCAAGAACAATTCAGAGTCATTCATTACTCACAAAAAGCACTAACTGGAGCAGCACATTAAAAGCCACCCTCCTGACTCTGTACTGGGTAGAGAAATTGTTACATTTGTTTAGAGAAAATAGAGTGCTGGATGGCCATTAGTTTCTTGAGTAGCACTTTAGTTCCTGCTAAACTGCAAAAGTAATGAAAAATTAGGTTTCAGTTTAGGTTTTGGTGTTTAAATGGTGTTATTTTGTTTAGGCTCAGAAATGAGCTGATCTGGGAACGCTCCCACAGGGGTGATGGACTCCCAGTGACTGATGAAGAGTAAACTGAGGTGGTGATGCTCTGGGAAGGCCAGGGGGTATTGGAGATGGTCTGTCGTGCTATGAGTTTGTTTTTCAGTATGTTCAACTCTTCCTAATATTTCAAACGTTGTAGGACAGGGTAAGCCAGGATTTCAGCCAAACATCCAAGCCTCACATGGCTTTTTGATTCATTGCCAGCCTATTGTGACACATCAAAAAGTGATTGCATTATGATCACTTCAAATACTGTGATCACATTAAAAAGTGAGTGAATCAACCAATTTAGTGACATACAAGCAGCAGAGTTTTGGTACAAGCTGGTTTATAACCATTTGCCATGTCCTATGTAGAGCACAGAAATTACATAAATTCTGTTTTTCCCAGTTTAAAATGTTTAGGTAAGGCAAAATGTTGTCAGAGGGAGCCTCATCATCCTCCCTTTACCAGGACTCACATAAGCTCCTCAGCCACTCTCTGGTTTTGACAAATGATACCGACCTGCAGAAATGGCATGAGCAAATACTTGAGCCATGATTGAATTTCTGGTGTTCCTGTCATACATGATTTTGCTCTGATCACTGGGTAACACATCTCAGCATAATGGTGGTTCTGTCTCTCTTCCCCTTCGTTCAATTTCTAAGGATAATATATGTGCATTTTTCCATTAAAAAAAGGAAATATTTTTAATGTTAAAACTGAATCATGGATGTCAGGTCATATATTTATGGTTGATTAAATATACACAGTGACTCTCATTTTTGTTATTAAAGCTTTACTGATTTTTATAACTAAGCTATACCTAAATTATTTTTGCATTCCTGAAATATATATCTATTTCCAGTTCAGGATAAATTTCTTTATATTAGTTCATTGAAATGGTAACAACAGCTGGTGAAGCCATAATATTTTATCCAATGATGCCTGTGTCACATTTCATGCCAATTACTGTATCTTAAGAGACTCAGTTATATGAAATTTTATCGACAACCAGCTTGTGCTCTCTGGCTTTTAAATTCAGTATTACTGAGCAGAATTCTAGGTTTTGCATCAGACAATGTGCCTTTCAGTGGCTAAAATATTTCTAAAAAGGGTGGGAAAAAATCCCTTAACAGAATGAAAAATATTTCAGATACAGTTTTTGGATGGTGTCCAGTTTCTACATTAAAAATGCCTTCCAACACCAGACGAAGCCTGAATCATAACGACTCATTTAATGCCATGTGCTCTCTGAAAAGAAAATGAGATCAGTGGTTAAATGAAATGCCCACAGATCCTGGGCATGGTGCACCATGATCAATAAAGATGATAATGCAGAGATGTGGGAGGACACTAAACTGGGCTGTTATTTAAGATTTATTTTGTCTCCTGAATCTTTCAGAGTGCTCTATGGAAACAAGATCACGGAGATTCCCCAGGGCCTTTTTGATGATCTTGTGTCTCTGCAGCTGCTGTGAGTATGATCCCTTCCTCTTCTTTATTTTACTGACTGGCTAGATTTACTGTTCTTTCAGCTTCTGACATTAATAGAACAACCTTTTCCACAGAAAGCTCACTGGGATGTGCTAGTCTGTTGTTGCTGTGTCAGGCAAGAGGGAAGCAAGGGCTGAAAAAACTAAAAAAGGAAGGTGTCAACAGTTTTATAGCACTGTGTGTGTAATGGATAATAGACACGGAGGATTTAAGTGTGGGGAGGAAATGAGAGACTCGGTCCAAGAAAGGAAATTTGGTCACTGGCTGATGCGTGGGTGGGGATGCCATCTGATTGTTTTTACACATTTAGCACTTGTGGTTGAATGTCTGGATCCTTGAGGGCTTCTGTGCTGCAAGAACCTGCTGGGGCAAGTGAAAGGGCAACGTGAGAGGTCTGATTGCTGCAACTTGTGCTCAGTTCCACGTTCTTATTATGCCAAATGGGGTTAGTTGCAAGAGAAACGATTTTACAATATATTGTTATTTAAAGTATTTTATGCCATGTGTGATTTAACTTGCAGTCATGATCAGGGTAAGATGTATAGAGTGATATTCAGTATGTATTAATGGAGCTGAAAAAATTTCCTAAGCCAAAGGTGCAATTGCAAATTTCACTCACTCTTGTCTCCATGATCACACTGGGAACCAGTAACTCCTTCAAAGGGAAGGGAATCATCAGCCAGTCAGTAGAGGGAGCAGCAGGGAAGTGAGTTTAATGTGTACTCCTAGTGTTCTGATTGCCATCATGGATGATGCACTCAGAAAATAAAGGTGATGTATCAAAGATGAGTCAATTCTGGTTTATGTCACATACAGCACTCCACCTCAAACAGTAAACTGTATTTAAAATAGAATATGAAGTAGCTTTTAGGCATGTTACTTGAAGCCTTTCTGACAATCCTGATGTAGGCAGCAGTGAATTTCCCAAAGATTGTCATTGCCATTGGATTTGTCACTGTGATTGAGCCTTTGCTGCCCTTATATGGGATATCAAAGCAAGCTTAGATTCAGATCAGCATTCATGAGCAAAACCAAACAAATAAAATGAAGTCACTGATATGACTCTCTATACTAAGTGAAGGACTGCCCAGATGTGTAATTTATCCATAAGACCTTAATTACTGACATGGACTACCCTGTTCCAGAGCAGGGCAAGCAAGAGCCCCATTGGTTTGGCTGTGGCAGTCCCTGAGCTGGGTCAGTGGGGAGCTGCCCATCATTTTATCTTTGCCCTATGCACCTTTTTCTGGCAGCTTCTTTCCTCTCTCCTGCCCCAAACCTCACAAGTTTTCTGATACTTCAGTGTTTCCGTGGCAGCCTGGGCAGTAAGAAGAATTTTGGGTATGGTTTGCCAGGTGTGAGGACAATAATTATGAAAGTGCAGAGAAGCTGGGATTCATCCAGCCATGACCTCTGAGAAAAAAAACTGTGTTTTAAAAAATCTGAGATTTGCAATCATTCTCCCCAATCAAATATTTTACAGTTACAGCTTTCAAGTGATACTCTTCAAGACTTGTTCTGTCTAATCCAAGACACTTTACAGATAGATTCCTTCCCAGCAGGAAAATATAAATAAGAAAATCACTCAACACGTGGATCACCATGTCCTATAAAAATGTGGCTCTAGAACTTTTGCATAAGGCATTGAGTAATTTTTAACTCCTTTATAGATAGTCCTGGTGTCCATGTAGAACAGTCCTTCAGTAAAGGGCATATTTAAGACAAGATACAATTGTTTTTAGTTAGAATTACCTCAAGTGATGCCTTGTTGTTTAGGAGACGAAATCTGTGTGCCAGGGAACCACTGAAAGGTGTTGTGCTTCAACTATTTAAACATTGTCAAGCTGAGACAATGCAAGTAGGTTGCCCTGTTTTGGGATTCCCAAAATGCTTGGACCCTGGAGCATTCCAGGGTCTTCTTTAGCATGTTCCTATGTAAAATATCTTTTGGCAAGGAGAGCATTGAATGATCATGTTTTAAATGCAAACAAATGTCTGCAGCTTTTTGGATTGTGGCTTTGAAGCAGCTGTTCTGGGATTGCTTGTAGTATTTTAATGGCTACTAAAAAAAAATAAATGGCATTCGTTGGTCTTAGACCTGCTGTTGAACAATTGGAAGAGTGCCCTATGATTAGATCTAATTTAGTGTTCCGTGGGCACTAGATTGGATTTCTTCTTATTAGTCTGGAGACACTCTGATAAGAACACTCTGATTAAGGTATCCTGGTAGCCTGTCTGATTTCCTGAGCTGGAGCAGGAGCAGTTTTGAAAATATACTGGCTTTATCATAAAGGAGGACACAATGAGAAAAGGGGAGTCCTTGTGGGTCCTGTATTATTTAGAAGGAAAAACTATTATTTAGAAATAAAACACATTATTTAAAAGGAAAAAATGATTACTGTGAAATTTCAGAACAGATCACATTGTTGTTAATTGTTTTGGATAGAATTCATCAGAGTTTCTCAGACATGTGATTATTCTTCAATTTAAATATATTGTCACAATACAGGCCCAGATTATTCTGTATTCTGGCTGAATTGTTGTCTGTAAGGGCCTAACACCTTCAGACAGTACCACTGGTGTCAGGAGCCCCAGAGCTGGATAGAGGGGCTCTCATCCCAGGCACAGTCACATCTTCAAGTGTCCTGTTTGACTTTGGTGTGGGGGAAATGAATTCAGAACAAATTTTAGACCACCTGGCTGGCATCGGCATTCCACATTTCTGCCCTATTATATTTGGCAAGAAAATAACTAGGCATGGTTAGATAATAAGGGTTTGGAGGTTTTTTTAAGGGTGTGGTTTTGTTGGGCTTTTTTTAAAAAGTCTATGGGTTTAATTGAAAATATTTAACTATCTTTAGTTAACATTACCCACAAAAATAATTGCAATTGGATTTATGTTAAATTGCTGATTTCACAAATCTTGTGTGTTTCTTAAGTATGCAGTGGTAACCAGTAGAGCAGCAAAAATCATTCTTCAAGTCCAACTACACATCTGTTCTGTGGAGCAGAAGCTTTTCTTGGACCACATAGTTTTCCTTATCCTTTTTGGAGATTCCAGAGGGGAGGATGATAGAAAGCTTTGTAGCTACTGTACCCTATCCTCATACATTTTTCTTTTCAGCAGGTTGTATAAAGTGCCTTCTGGGAATTTTAGGTCAATTTGGGTTTGAGAGATCTATGTTGTTTTCTAGAAAGGGATAACTTTTTTTTTAAGCTTTTGTGGGTTTTCTTAATACAGTGAATGGAAACTGATTTTATTGGGGGAGCAATGCATCCAAGCTGTAAAATGGTGTTTGATTAATTTGATTGTTTGCACTTCTTGCATTTAAATACCAAAAGAATGGCAAAGGCTTCAGCTTAAGGTGGAAGTTTTCGAGGAACCATTAGCTGTGGATGGTTAGTCCAGGAGACAGATAATCCTGTGACAGATAAACCCAACAGCAGCAGTGGGCACCGAGTTTGTGAGCCAGCATTTGTCACATCTGAGTACCACACTTCCCTCCCTGCAACCACATGAACCCAAACATTCTGGGAGCGTTTTCATTGCAGCCGTGCACAGCGCGCTGCTGTTCCTGGAACAAGGAGCTCTCATAAAATCTCTGCTCTTTAAAGAGGCTGTATAGCACGATAATATGAGGGATGAAGTCTCATTTTTCAAATGTCTGGCAAGCATCAGTTTTCAATAAATCATTTTCCTTGAGGAAATTTACTTTGCATAGTTACTAATCATGCAGGTGCTCAGGAGTGTTGATCCTAAATCTTCTGCTTGTGATCCCCATGTTTTACTGAGCAAGAAAAATCCCCATAGAAAAATCCACGGTTTTGATGTTGCTAAACATCAGGAGATCCACTCCTGTGATACGTATATATAGTAAAATAAATATTAAAACTAAGCCAAAAGCTGACAGCCTTCTCCTCCTTCACCTAATATCTGGTCATTAGGGAAAACTCAGCTCTGCAGTTGGAAAGGACCAATAATCATATTGGTGCCTGGAGTTTGACATATTGACAGATAAAGTGATGTCAAAAGTGGTGACAAATTATCACTCATCTAACATGGGTTAAAACTGGCACTAGATATAATATTTACAACTTCAGCTGAGCCTGAAATAGACTTGTATGAAGTGACAAGTCATGTGTGTACTTTCGGAAACTGCTATCATCAGTCTTCCCAAAACTCAACTGGTCAAATTTTGGTTTGAGGGATTCTTGGTTTTTTTCTAACTTGCTTTTTATTCTGCTTTTTCTGGGATGACTAAGGCAGATATTTGGTATCCCCAGCTCTTTTCTGGTGAGGTTGCTTGGAAAGTATCTTCATAGCAGATTTGCCAAGTTTGAAGTGCTTGTGTTGATTTGTAATTCTAAATTGAATCCCAGTACTGAAGAGCTTAAAGCAGGATCTACCAGTTATTTATTGTGTACTTTTGGGGCTTGATAGAATCTCAGAGAGAATGCTGTAGTGTACAAACTCATACAGATTATTTAAAAACAACAGAATGTACATCAATTCCAGTATTTGGCATTGTATACATTGCACTGTTGTATGCATAAATATATTAATCATCAATGTAAACAGTACAGAAATGTCAGAATAAAGAAAGTACAGTTTTCCATTTACAAGTCTTTAATAGCACAGTAGTCTCTTCCCCATGGTGATCTGGGCTTTAAGTGATGTATAAAATCTTGTTCTGTGGAGTTCTTATTTTTACTCATGGAGAATAGAGAATAGGCAATAAAAATAAGAGACCTTGTGGCTAGACAAAAGGGGAAGACATTTTCCCAGTGATGTCAGGTAGTAGGAATAGGGTGCCCAGAAAGCTGTGCATCCTCTGTCTTTCAAGGTTTTAAAGACCAGACTTTATCCAGACTGGATAAAGCTCAAGGTAACCCAATCTGACCTTGTAGCTCATCCTGTTTTGGCAGCCTATCAGGACAAGAAACCACTGGAGCTTTCGGGAACTCTGAATTATCCTGCAT